TAAATACCAACTTTACCTGTCGTTCTTTTATTTTATTCTAGTTCAAAAAGATTGTGATGTATAAATTCGAATCATTTAGCAATAGAAGATAAATGATCAAACATCAGACAATATTTTACCCAACGGCATTCAAATTCATCCTGTTTACTGAAAGGTCAAAATAAAATACCCATAAAACTACGTAAGCTTAAAAGAAAAAATTTTATAGTATATTATATAAAAATATCGAGCAATGAAAAATTACACAAACATATCAGTTTAAAATACTCTTAGAAATTTTATATTTCTATTTACCGATTATGACATAAGAAACGTTAACAATAAACTTTTAAAAAATTAGTTTTTAAGAGGCAAAATGATATGGTTTATCATGTCACTATGATGAAATTGTTGCTCTAAATGACAAAATTTCAAGGAATGCTTTGTGTAATTCTTTTTATGTTCAATGTTTTTGATGAATCCCAGTTGGCCAAATCTTATAAATATGTAATATATAATACACTTATTTTATTATCTTGATAAGTTAAAATTTCGAGTAATTATTTTAAAATAATATTTTTTAAAAAAATGCATCACAGATTTTCAGTTTTAGCAAAAAAGTATTTAAAGTTGATAAACTCTATAATAATAGCATCAAGCTCACAAAAAATATTAACTTATTTAATAATGTTTATCATATTCTCGCCTCAGTTTACTTTTCTTTTATTTTTAATAGTTATTTTACTGACAAAAAGTTATAGAATATTCTTTAAATACCAATATGTATCAGTTTTTACATAAAATCAGACAAAGCTGCATGCAAAATAACCAGTCAATCACAATTGTACAATTTATAGCATGTGGTGTAACAAACAAGCAAATTGCAATATACACGCTTGAACACAAATATAAATATGATGGGCCAAGTAAATTAAGTTGAATATAAATAAATGCATTGTTAATGTCAAGACCGCCCAATAATGAATATATTTACTTGTTACAAAGACTAAAGGAGTTGTTATAATATAAATGATATGAAAAATGAACATATTATTGGCGTGATAAATGAAATGTAGAAATTATCTTATTTAATAAATGGAATTTTCATCATCCCATATCATAAATGTGGCAGTCAAATCATGTGCAAAAAGGGGGTATACAAGTATTAAAAAATTCAGTGCAACATATCAGTATTTGAGCCATTTGGCCACAATAAAATAGATGTTGTGTTCGTTATTAATAGAATAACAAACATATTCTTTTGCCTTGAAATATTTATCTGAATCAGCAATTGTTGTATCTAAAGAGTTTATATTTAATAAGTCAAAATTCCATGAAATTTTTTAAAATTACTTTGTAAATGGTGCAATGATTTTAAATTATTATACATTCTCACCACACGAATTCTTTCTTCAAACACATATAATACGATAGACATGAACTTAAATATGATATTTTAGATAACATGGGCATGCTCTTCAAGAACTTTAAAATGCTTTTAAATCATTAATGTTTAATCTTTCCATTTCAACCAGATTGATGTAACAAGCCCGAATTTATTTTAACTAAATAATTGCGAAAATACATCACTGATCATCACAATAAACATAACTTTGTTTGTTAATTATTTGTGTGAAAATTAAATGAATATGTGCTTAGATTTAAATAATAAGCAAAGTTGTTATTACTTTATCTTTTTAGTAAAAATTTATAAATATGGTTCCACAATATGGCACATAAATGGGACTGTATTGTCCTTAACTATTTATACTATAAAATCAAGTTATATAAATTCGATCGGCTTATCAATATTGATAAAATCTAATTTTGATGAGATTATGGCATATTTTTAATTAGAGGGCAATTGTACAAGAGTTCATCAAAAGTATTGATTGTTTTGAGATCATACAACAACATAAAGTCTAAGTACAAATGGGGTAATTTCTGGGGATAAGAATCCGTGCAGATATTTTATCCATATTATTTTTCTTTTTAATACAATATAATCAATGTAACAATATTGAAACTATGTATAATAATTTCAATTTTCTAATATTTTAAAATAACAAAAATCTTAAACACTTACATGTGATGAGTGATTCTAGTGCCCAAAAACATTAATAATTTCAAAGCTTTTAAATAAATTTTAATTATGAAAGATAAATGGCTACCAAATTACTTGTATATTTAGTGAATTTCATATTGATTAAACTAAAATAATTTTTAACATTAATCACTAGATAAACATCTTGTTTATATATTAAAGCCAACATTTATTTTATATTCAATTAGAGTTATTTGAGTTAAATATTGTTGAAAAGACAACTAATTAATATGCGCGCAGTAGAACATGCCATAACAATGCATTTCTTCCTTTTAATATCATTTGTATATGATAGCACGATGTCAAATCAAGCTAAGGCAATTTGGATAGCACATTTTTATTATCATTGTCAAATCAAACATCTGTATTTATAATAACAGAATATGTCAGGATCTGCTCCTATTATTTTGCAATTAAATATATATTTAAAATAAATTTTTAAAATGTAGAAACAAAGCAATGCCAAAGAAAAACCAGTAGTTGATTTGTATAATACCATTTAACCAAATAGTAGTTATAAGTCTTGGTATAAATTGGCCATTTGGGTTATGCTATTCCCAGCTCTTCCCAAATGTGTTTGGTTTGATAGTCATGTCAATTTTAGAATTGTGCATAATTTGATACTCAGAATATAATTTAACCACACATACCCAATTATATCTATGTCTAAATTTTTAAATTCCAATTTATTAAAAGACAAATCTAATATCATTTTTGAATCCAAAGCGGAATGCGTTTCTTAAAGATGTGCTGCATGGTACTTCCACTCCTATCCTTTCAGTAATTACAACTCCACAAACTTGCTTGCCACTTACACATCTCCATATTGGGATGCTTTCCTCACAATGCCCGTCGGTTTTTATAGTGCAATTCTATCACATCTCTTTCTAACATCGCATATTCATTTACGACTCATATATTGCCGTTGTTTATCGAATTACATAGTACTCCTTCAAAACACTTTTAGATTGATTTGATACTGCCAGCAGGTCTTATACTCCTTTCAAGCTATTAGCTTTAGAAATTAAGTGTTTTCTAGACGAAGAAGGCGTCATATTCTAGACATTTCGAATTCACAAATACAATGATTTAGACGATTCTTGGGCACTAACTTTTTTGACAGTGCAGACCAATTTCTTTTTCAATTACAACTAAGCATCTGTTGACTGAGCAATCATCTTATTGGTAGTTAGTTTATATGATGATCTGAAAAAAGATGCTATTTTGATCAGTTGTTTAAAAATCTTTAATTTAATATTTGTGGATAGTTGAGGTAATGAATACTTGCTATTTGAATCACAAGCTATATTCGTTAGAGTGGAATGCCATTTCAACTTCTGAAAGGAGTGATGAATTTGACATTATGACGTTTCGCATTGTATCTTAATGAGTGTTAGCTTGATAGCAATGAACCCCAACTAGAAAATGCAAAGAAACACATCACACATACGGCTTTTGGTTGTATATAAAAAGTCAGTTGACAAAATTTTAATTAAATTTATTAACAAGAAGAACACGCATAAATATTTTGGATGAAGATTTTTAACCAACAGAGACCATTAAGAGTGATATGGTGAATTAAGACTAATCGAATGATCGAATGGTAAAACTTACAAAAAGAATAGTTTAACACAGAATCTAAATAGCACGCAAAAGCTTATATTGGCAATAAATTCGTTTATTATTATAATACTTTCATATTATAGGCGTTGTATTTAAAATATTTGATTTTAAAAGTATTTTAACGTGTTTTGATTTATTGTATATGGAATTATTTTGAATGAAAGATTTTCTGTACGTCAAATAACACTATTATAACAATGGTATAATATTGCAA